CAGAGGCCGGGGTCGTATCTGCTCGAGAATGGCGTTTTCCGCCCCATCACGCCGGCGGATGTAGCATGAAATGCTCTAGCATGAAATGCTCGGGCCGCGTTGGTGGAAAGAAAATGGAATAGGAAAAGGAAAAGGAGATTCGTATGCTCATTTCAGTGGTATTTGGGGGGTTTAGTGTGACGTGACGTTCTGTGGGATGACGATGGTCGGATAACGGTTGACGGGAGTTTTCTTCTTGGCTTCTGGTTGGCGTCAGTACCCCAATCTTTTAGATATGCTCAATCACGAGGTGGTATTTATCCAAAACTTTTCGTACTTTGACTTGAGATGGACTACGATATGAGAGATGTGAAGTGTGTGATAGTATACCTTGAAGTGCCGCCACAACTACCTCGTCTCTCCTCCATCATACAATCCGAACCACACACGAATAATCATCAACAAGAACATGACCTTAGGTACAGAAGCAGATAAGTAATATGCACAGGGCAGCCATTATATTCATCAACTCGAAATACTTTTTGATTCATTTCTTGAATACGTCCAACTCGGTGAAGATCCCAGAGAGGCGATATAAACCCTTCTCGCCCTCTTTCGTTTCCCCCTTTTTTCTTTCTTTACGTCGCAAAAAAGCAAAGCCAAATGTCATCTATGCCTGTGTGTGCCCGCCATCCAGGCGTTGCACTATGCTCTAGCAAAGCAGTACGTTAGTATAGGTCGGCAATATGTCTTCCCTGACTGTGCCAACCATTTCTGGAAAAAACTCCTCTCCCCTTTAGCGCTTCCTATACCACCAACTCATCTGTGTACACCAGACTTAGTGCCGCCGAGGTCTTTTACATGGCTTCGTAGGCGACACCCAGTCGTCAAATTTAGTCGACCTGCTTTTCGCAGCCGATTCTACCAAGCAGCTCCTTGCGGTCGCTGTGGCCGGGTAGGCTCACGCCTGAAGAACTTGCTTGTCTCTTGATTCCCGTTCTCCGCTCCCAGCTCTTGAGGTCAATATCTTCGACGCCAACCTCCTCCTCGAGAGCGACCTCCTCTTCGTAGACATAGTCGCCCTCCTCCTCGCCTTCGAGTTCGTCATCGCTACGGACATCCTCAGCGTTGCCGCCGCGAAGAACCTTATTGACAACGCGAAGAATCATAAAAAACCATCCGATGGTAATGAGTTGCAGAGCGAGGAGGGGAATTAGGAACGCCCAGCGAATGGTAGAGTCCCAGCAGACAATGCCATCCGACTTGTAGAAGGGCTCCAACATCCAGCTCTTGCCCTCGGGAATAGGTAGCGGGCCCACCAGGTTGGGCGCCTGGCCGGTATAGCACGAGTCGGGGATTTCCTCGGGAATGTGGGTGTGGATGGACCAGCACACCATCAGGTAGAAGACATGGCGGGCAATGAGCCAAGACAGAACGAAGGCACCGAACATGAAGTCGCAGAGGGTGTTCAGTCCAACGTACTTGAGACACTTGGCGAGCTGCGACTGATTAGCTTATGCAGGAGGAAGGACTGGGAGTAATGACGTACAGGGAAGAAGAGGTCGACAACATCCATGAGGACGAGAATCAGGTTTCCGACACGGGTCTGGTGGTAGCTGTAGCAGGCGGAAATCAGAGTGCAGGTGATGATGTGGTGAGTGAACATCTGCCAGTGGTCCTTGCGGCGGTCTTCGATGTTGATGACGAGAATCTGCTGGAGCCAGAAAGCCCACTGCGCCAGGATGTAGAACTTGTTGAGACCAGAGAGCTCACGCTGCGGCCAGTTTGTCCAGAGCTCTCTAAGGTTCAACCAGTAGGGCGAAGTCTTGTAGATGTACTGTGCCATTGTTAGAGGTGGCTCGGCAGAAGAAGCTGGAATGAAAGCAAAAACTTACCATGCCCAGGGGCCAGAAGACCATGTAGTAGACCAACAGCCAGGCCTGCTCGCTGAAGCGTGTGAGATCCTTGCGCTTCTTGATACCCCATCCCTTGGCCAGGGGCGCCAGAACGTATTCCATGGTAGCGGCGCGGAGGCCGGTAAAGAGGATGATGCAGAATGCGAGAAGGCAAGAATCACCGAGACCGGCGCCATACTGGCCAGTTTCTTGGTTGTAGTACGAGAGGGTGAAGAACTTGATCGTGTGAGGTTGCGCTTTCGGGATGAAGAAATGGGCGAGGAAAAGGAGGGCCAGGAGGTTGAAGGAGAGACCTAGATCCGGCACATGTTAGCTATGTCCAAGCCGTGTTTTGCAAATAGGAGGCATGTCATTGCGGTGATGTATGCCATGTAACAATAAGTATATCCAGTTGTGGCTTGACAGAGGTGCATGTGGGGTAGTAAAAAGGGTAAGGAGAGAGAGCACACAAGAAAGACGACGTACCGACTTGGTTCTCAACCATCCACCGGCTCAACATCTTCCAAGCGCTGTCGTCTGTCCTCCTGACCCGTCGAATGAGCACGACGTTGACATTGTTGTGTCCTTGCTGGTAAAGGGGGCCGTTCATAAGCTTGAGCTGCTTAGTGCTGGCATTTCGCTGAATCTGGGGGCCGGCGGAGCTGGTCCTGACAGGCTTCTCAAAGGTTGGCGATGAGGCCTCATTGCTGGTGGTGTCGCTCATGATGCGCGACTAGAGCTCCAATTGGAACTCAATTGAAGTATCGAAGAGAGTGGCGACCCGGAACTGGAGTCGTGAGAGAGACTGCGATGCTCAGCGACGGCTGCGTCGTGGTTTGGCGTTGGTGTTTTCTCGGATAGCCGTCGAGCCAAGTGATCCTTTGTGGTGGTTGTGGTTGGTGCTGAGCCGCGATAACGAAGAGAGATCGATATCCACACGCGGTTGGAGCGGGTTTGGTTGCGCAAAGGAGCACTTGTCGGGATTCTTGGTACCGCAGAGCGCGACGAGGTCGTCACGGGCGCTTCTGGTAATGCCGTGGTCGAGGAAAGGGAGGGGATGGGGGAAAACGAACGTCCTTGGTTGGTTTTAGGGAGGTTGAAGATCAAGCGGATGGGAAAGTGAGCAGAAGGGCAACGTCGCACACAATGGAGACCGAAGACGGGACGGTGGACTAGACGGCGGTCAGGTCCAGGTAGAGGACCGTAGCAGGACAGGCTGGACGGTACGAATACAGAGGTACACGACGCCAAGGCCTAGGTCAGGATCTGCTCGGTTGCTCCAGAAAGTTGCTGGGATCAGGAGTGCAGCAAGACGGTGCCCCCCCGTTTGGTGTGTGAAGTGGTGGTGGTTGTGGTGCGAGGATGCGGGCTGCGGCGGTCTTTCTTTCTTTCTAGCTGCTGCTTCAGTGACCGGAGATGAGTGCTTGGTGAAGCTATTTGCCAGTACGTTTGGTGAAGAAGGGAGAAGCAGGATGAGAGAAGTTGCTGGGTATAGGCAGGGCGAGAAAGAGACTGACACTGGAAGAAACTTGACAAGAGTCTGGAAGAATACAAGGTAGCAGCCGTGGCTGGGACAGAGTTTCTTCAAGTCACGAATACTTTTGTTCCGATAATTTTCTGTCTAGTCTTGCTCACTTGTCAGGAGGCGGAAAACCTAGCTAAAGACTGGGAAGCCCAGCGGCAGAAGGAAACGTGGGTTGAGGTACTGGGTACTAACGGCTCGCGTCGTTCCACCCAAAAGCCCAGCTTCGTCTCGAGCAAAAAGGAGGCTCCACAGAGGTACGGAGTACTCTTGTACCTACACGTTGCTAACCTGCTCTTGCCTTCTAGCCTCTATGTAGGTATCTTGCCCTTGCTCATAGCCCCGGCAAGAGAAGGGTCAAGTCAATGGAATCGGCAGCCAGGCCCAGTCGACTTCAATAGAAGTGGCCTAGAAATGCATAAACCAAATGCTGAAAGAACCAAAGTTCTGTTGTAGCTTGATGCTCACAGTCTCTCATAGTTCGTCTACCAGACACATGTAACCGACATGTACAGATCGCCGGCCAACTCTTAGTGAGCCGAACAGGTTGTTCAAAGGCGGTGAAGACGGCTTGCCATTGGAAAATGAAACAAAATCTGGAGGGAGAAAGAGAGACTCTGCGAGAAAGTTGATGGTGGCAGGCGCGACATGGAAAAGGGATGTGGGCAGTAGGCGTCGGCCAATAAAAGCACCAGGGTTCTCTTGGTCCCTGGTTCTCTCTTTCCCAGAATGAGTGCGGCACATAGTACGTACCTTCCGCACCTTTCGGGGGGAATTGGGGGGAAGGAAGGGCCCAAGGGGTGGAGGACCCCTTATCCCATTTGAGTCTGGCTGCAGCTCTATCACTGATTGATGCTGCGCTGGGCCGCTGGGACGTGGGCCGCTGGGACGTGGGACGTGGGATGTGCAATTGGACGGTGCGGTGGACAGTGGTCGTGGTGCCTTCCCTTTAAATTGTCAAAATGATTGGAAGCTTGATTGTTGTCGCCCGTGGCCCGCCGTCGGGAGACAACCGACCCCTCCCTCCATCCCCTTTGCCCACCCTCTCTGCTTTTCAACAAGACCGCCATGTCACTAATGGATCAATTCTATCTGAACGAATTACTGGACTCGAGTATCCGTATCCGTACAAGCGACAGATGCTGGACAGCTCGAATCAATTCCAAGGCAGAGCTGCCAGGAACAGAGTGGAGAGAGGGGAGACCAACGCCGCAACGCGAACGTAGACGTGGAGACGGGAGTTGAAGATGGAGAGAGAGAAAGGACGGGCGGGTCTCCTCGTCCTCAACAAGTTTCAACACTTGTCCATTGATCCAATTAAATTGCTTTGGTTTCTTTGCTTCTCTCCTCGGTTCCCTGGCCATTGTGTTTCCTGCTGATCTCGCCATCTTAGCAGAGGGCAGGTTGGAACAATAGCACGGGCATTGACAATCTTCATCTCGCGGACATGCACAGCGTTTAAAATGAAGTGATTTTCACCCCTAGACGCTTATCGATGTTTACTATACATGCCCCTGTCAATCATGTCGAATTTTGCTATTCTCTCATCCTTTCTTTACATTCTAGTTCTCGCTTTTGCCAGGTTTCTGATAGGTCTCTAAGGCTCTAGGCTCTATCACGTCGTACCTTATAATGAGGTGCTGTATGTACTATTACCTCGCCCAACCAGGTCTCACAGACATTTCTGTGAGATACCCCTATTTTCATCTGTGCAAGTCCAACAACAAATAACTTTTTCGGGACTTTGCGCCATGCATTTGATCACACAAACAATGTCTGTTCACAGTCCTTGACACCGCCTAAACTCCCGTGAAGCCTTGACTACTCAACACACCTGGCTGTCACTGGACCCCTTAGTAAAGCAGGATGCTGTGCAAACTTCAGAGCTCGACGAGGTACGGAGTACGGTAGGTATTTTGTACTGTACCTCGCCATGAGGTGCCTTGCTGTAGAGGTACGAATACTTTGTGTAAGCTCGACAAGACCTTGGCTCCCCATCCTCCCGTCCCTTTCCACCCCTCCCCGTGCGATGGCGACATGCATCAGCCAATTGCCAGCTCCGACACCTCGCATCCAGAACGAGACCGTCGCTTTTCTATTTTGCGTCGCTGCCGTCAGAACGCTAGTGATCCTCAATTTCAATGACCCTTCGTGAGAGCCGCAAATCGCACTCCGCGCGTGACCGTGGCGCCTCCGCTTCAAAATCTCGATCCTAATCAAAACGGCACCTACAGAGTGAGGAACGGATACAGAACCGACAACTCCCTCTTCCCGTATCACAAACGTAAATTCGCGTATTCCATCCTCAACCCGTACATGCCCGCACTTGAATGCGACACGACCACGGCACAAAAGAAAAGAACAGACGAATACGGTCGGACCTCGCATCACAGACAAAACCAGCCCAGGCCAGGTGCCCCAAACTTCCGCCTCGCCCTCGTCTTTACCCGTCTTCCCGTCCTCCCAGCTCTGTCCTCTACTTGTTCCGTGCATGCATCCAGAAGGACTTGTCAAGATCTCTCCCCTCTCTGCCCGTACATATCTCTCGGCCTCCGCGTTTCATCCCGTCTTTTTCGACGAGTATCGGCTGGTCGGATCTTTTTCGAGACCGCCACTTTGGGATGTGATCGTGATGTGACGTACGGATACGGGGCTGTTGATAGGGTATCTAAGTATTCAATTTGCCTTTCCACAAATCTGTAGAGGTTTGAACCTTTCTTGCCTTAGCAGCAGCTCACAGAAGGCCGCGAACATCAGACCACGCGGTTGCCAAGAGGTCGCTCTAGCCACTCCGCCATTCAAGGCCACCCAAGGCGCAACATGCCAGATGATAGATCCATCAAATCAGGAATATTGAAATTACCCTGCTGTCTGCACCGTTTAGCGTTCGCGCTTGCTGCCGTGTCTTCAGGCACATTCCGCAGTGCAGGGAACATGCCGAGCAGGACAGGATTGCAAGGCGCGACCTCTTACATACATAAGCCCCAGTACGGCGTAAGTATATGCTAGTAGAAAACCTTATGCATCGAAAAAGAAAGAAACTCCAAGATCTCGCCCGAGGATTCTGCTACGCCTCATTACTGTCACATGACCCCATATACGCCACCCTCTACCCCAGACCCATCAGCCACACACAGCTGTGCAAGCAGTGACCGTTCGCATCCCCACATGATCCCTTCCTGACGACTACGACTCTCCGCCCAGCCCTTCCTGCAACCTTTCCGCAGGCAACCAACATCAAAAAAAGGTTCAAAAGTGCTCGTCATACACCTACTTGCGCGAAATATCCCTAGCAAACAACATCTCGACGACAAGCTCACATACTTCCACCAACGAACCGGTCAAATCAAGCGCAAACGATGGCCTCCAAGACAAAGTACGCCCCGGCGCCGACCCAGGACCCCGACGAAGCATCAAGCTACGCCCAGGCGCCCCCCGCCTACCAGGCCGAACCCACCGCCGCCTCCGACACCGATCGCCTCTTCGGCGGCGGCGCGCCTCGCAGCAGCCAGGACGACGACCTCCCCGATGACTTCAAGGTAAGCACAAGCACAACTCTCCCCCAAAGCACCCGTCTCCAGCTCCCGGCTATCCCGTGGCCCCTCTATACCCCCCTTCATCGTGAACCAACTTTCAACTAACACGTCAAAACCCACAGTTCGGCGGCTCAGTAGCAGAGGCCACGACCGATATCAGAAACCAGTTCATCCGCAAGGTCTATGCTATCCTCACCGTCCAACTCATCGCCACCGGCGCCGTCTCCGCCCTCAGCTTCTTCAGCAATGGCTACAAGACCTGGATCCAGGCCCACCCAGGCCTCGTCTTCGCATCCGTACGTATCCCTTCCCCCTCTTGCAGTCTGTAAGACAATGACAAGACTAACCGCGAAACAACAGCTCTTCGGCTCCATCATCATGATGCTCCTCACCTTCTGGAAGCGCAAATCCTACCCGACAAACCTCCTCTTCCTCTCAGGCTTCACCCTCATGGAAGCCTACACAATCTCCGTCATCGTCTCCTTCTACAAGGCCGGCATCGTTCTCAACGCAGTCTTCCTCACGGCAGGCATCTTCATCTTCCTCACCGCCTTCGCCTGCCAGACAAAGTACGACTTCACCTCCTGGATCCCCTACCTCGGCGGCGCCCTCTGGGGCCTCGTCCTCTTCGGCTTCATGTACATGTTCTTCCCCTACAGCTCCACCGGCGAGCTCGTCTACGGCGGCATCGCAGCCCTCATCTTCAGCGCCTACATTCTCGTCGACACGCAGCTCATTATGCGCCATCACCACGTCGAGGAGGAGATTGCGGCCGCCATCAGCCTGTATCTCGACATTATCAACCTGTTCTTGGCGATTCTGCGCATCTTGAACAGCCAGCAGAACAACTAAGCTGGTCGCAATACACAAACAATACCCCGATGTTCTAGTAGTAGCGTAATTTGGAATTCGTAGTCAGGTAGTACCGGCTTCAGACAGGTTGCTTTTGAGTGAAAGAGAGGCTGTTTCATTTGTCTTTGTTACCAGCAAGGATGCTCTGAGATTTTCTTACTCAGCCAGAAGCTTGAGCGAGGGTGCTGCTGGCATGCATGTATTGGCACGCCTCCTTTGTAGTAAAATTGATATAATACAGATTGGATCACAGAATGAATGGACAGTGTACCAATTAGATATCACGCGGGGAACAAGACTTGAATTTGATGAAGCGGTAAAGTAATGTGATATCTGCATTAGAAGTCGACTAATAGAAAAGGAAAATGAGGGCGTTAGTAAAAAGGGCTACAAAGGCACAGCCGGAAAGATGCGGGCTGGCGGCGTGTTAGGGATGGTGGAAACGAATTGACGAGTAGCTTGTGGCCCACAGGTCCGCCGTGTCCTCCATGATCCCCTCGACCTCGACCCAGAAGCCTTTGAACCTCCGCCCCGAGAACGTACACCGCTTCTTCCCACACATCTACCGAGCCGGTAGCCTCTTCCCAGTCGTCGCATTCGTAGTAGACCTTTTTGGGGTTTTTATCTTCGTGTCAAGAGAAACGAACTCGCATAGGGGAATATTGTTCTTTCTCTTTCAACACAGCACGGAAACCAACGCCAGTATAGAAAAAGACCAACGTCGCAGTTTGGGGTAACCATAAGCAGGGGCCAGAATTGTTGAATTAGTTGGCTTCGTGGTCGCCGTTGGCCTCGGCGGGGCCGCCGGCTGCTGCAGACTGTTCCCTCTGCATACGGGCCTCGATCTCGCGAAGTTGGGACTCGCGGGCCAAGAGCTCTTGTCGCTTCTCGTTGATCTCGCGCTGGACCTTGATCTCGATCTCGCGGAGCTTCTCCTCCTCTCGCCGCAGCTGTTCCTCCTTGAGGCGCACAGATTGCGAGGCGAGATCCTCGGGGTTCATGGACGAATCGCTATAATATGGTCAGCAAGGCATCATCATGGGTAAATAGGGGTCCGCAAGACATACACTCCAGCACCACCCTCAACAGACTTGCTGAGCTTCTCGGTACGGTAGTTCTCGTACAGGAAGTCGTGGGTAATCTCCTTCAGGTCAGCCAAGTGGCTGTGAAGAAGCGCGGATCGAATGGCGAGGAAGTCGGAGTGGCGCGGGTTGTCAACCTCGACAACACCCCAAGGGTACTGGCGGGCGCGGACGGTGCGACCACCAATCTCGACAATCTCCTCGGAGCCGACGATGGCGAACGGCATAAGACCTCTCAATTCGGCGTTCTCCTCAACGGTATCCTCGTCATCTTCCTCGATGTCGTAAGGGAAGTTGTAGACGGGGATGCGGTAGTGCTCAATGTCTTCCATCACAAGCTTCTTCGACTCGGCGAGCTCAGCAGGGGTCAGGGAGTCGGCACGGCCAATAACGGGAATGACGTTGACACGGGGAGCAAGACGCTTCATGAGCTCGATATCCAACTCGCGAAGACTGTTGACTGAGTTAATGGCGGTCAATAAAGGCCAAGAAACGGTGGGCTTACCCGTGTCCAGTAGGTGTGATGAAGTAGAGCATGGCGTGCACACGGTTGTCTCTGAAACGAGGGTTACGCTTGATACGTGACTCCTCGGCAAGAATGTCATCGTATTGTCTCTCGAGGTAGCCGACAATCTCGGAGAAGCTGCATGCATGTTAGCACCCGCGATACCATCATAATGTTGGAGTGTGGTGCCATACCTGGCCTCATTGTCGATCTGGTCACCGAAACCGGGGGTGTCGACAATGGTCAGGGAGATACGGGTGCCCTCCTCGTCCAACTCCAATTCTATGAGGCGGTCAGTTTGCTGATGCGATGATCAAAGGCTTCACACGGTAGACACGCACCGACAGTGATGGGCTTAATCTTGACACCGTCCTCGACAGAGGCGCCGTTGGGATCGTCCGACTCCTTGTGGCCAAGCACACTCTTTCCGCAAAGGGTGTTGACGAAGGTGGTTCTTCCTGTAAGGTCGAAGGTCAGTCGACGGCACTCGGTGGTGTTAGGGCGAACACGAGGTCGGCCATGAAGGGGGGAGAGGACGTACCAGTGCCTGATGCTCCGCAGACCATCAAACAGAACTGGATTCCCTTCTTCACGTTCTTCTTTCTGCGCATCATCTTCTGTAGTATAGAGTGTGGTCAGTCAGGTGGTATCTTGAGGGATGCAGATGCATTGGGGCCATGATGGCTTCGTGGAGGCGGGAGAGGAATTGTTGAATGGGGGCCGGATTGGTGTAGTAGGGGGAGACTGAGAGAGGCGGGCAAACATACGACGGTTGTTGAAAGTAACGCTTAGTCTAGAAGAGGGTCGGTAAAGGAATCGTTGATGGATTCAACGACTTGACGAGAAAAGAATGGCGACGATATTGTTTCAAGGGACAGCGAGCGTCGTGTCGTGTCGTAGATGAACGGAGCAAAAGGACTGCTGGATCCCAAATGTCGTTGTTCTGGATTGGGACCTGGGGGTCGGACGGGAGGTGCAGGTGCTAAAGGGGACGGGAGGGTCTTGACCGACGGGTGTTGGAAAATGCAATTTCACACAAAATGTTGCGGCAGGACGACCCCAAGAGGCCCCCCAGCCAATTGATTGCTTCCTCCTGCACGCCCAATTCAGGGGGCAGCAACTCCCCGGCCCACGCTCCTTTCCCCCAAAATTAACGCTAATCCCATAGAGGAAAAGCACCAATAGCGGGGTATCCTCGGGCAATTTTGGAAGAGAGAGAGAGGAATCAGGGTGACAGGTCACGAGACTGGCACATGGTCAGTGCTGAAGCTTTCCCGCCTGGCTGCAGCAATTGGCACGCACGTTGGATGTAGGCGCGTTTGCACCGTGTGTCCAAGGGACCAAACATGTTTCGCGTTCCTCTACGTAGTACCTACCTTACGGTGGTGCCTTACCTAGGTAAGGCCAGGTGGCACCCAGCTGGGCAGACGTGGCAGGTGCCTCGATCACACTCCCCTCATTATCATCACCGCTATCATGAGAACTATGTTGGCGAATTAAGGAAGTTTGAGCATATTTTCTAGAGAAAACATCCAAAAAAGGTGCTAGAAGTACATGCAACATGATGGAAGGTAGTAGTAGAAGAAGAGATCAAGGTGAAGGTTGTGATCGCGATAGAAGAAGAGATTAACAAAGTGTTGAGCGGCAAACTATTCTGTCGCTCATTTCATCCCAAGGTTCC